TTTTTTTCCTATTCTGGTTATTTCTTTTTCTATAAATTTTTTATCTACTCTATTATTCTTTTCTTCATTTTCTTTTAATTTCCTGACTTCAAGTTTCAATATATTTATATCATTTCTAGCTTCTTTTATTTCATTCTTAATTTCTTGTACATCATTTATTAATGTTCTTATTAGATGTTTTAATTCTTCCATATGTTCACTGATTGACATTTTATTTATTTTTTGATTGACAATAATAAAATACTACACACTCAGCATTTTTACATTCTTTTATCATTTTATCATACTTTTGTTTTATAATTTCAATACTTGTCAGTTCTTTTAATTTTTCATAATATCTTGCTTTTTCTTTATATCTTTCTTGTTTTAATTTTAATATCTGTTTTTCTTGAGTTTTAGTTATTTCTCCAGGTATTAATAATTCATCTAAAATTTTATTATTTATTAATCTTATTCTTTCTAACTTTCTATCTAAAATATTTTTAGTTTTTTCCATTATATTTTATGATGATTCATATATTTCTCTATGATACAACTCATTTTCAAATATTTCGCAAATTATTTCATATGTACGTCTATCTTTGATAAATCCTACAATTAATTTATGTAATATTTGTTCCTTTATTTCTCTAGGTAAATTCCTAGTTATATATAATGTTATTATTTTTAGTTTATTAGGGATAGGGTTGTAAAATATATAACATCCTTTTTCTTCAATACATTGATAATAATTATTTATTTTTAAGATTTCCATGATCTCTATGGCTCTGATACCAACTGTGGGGTGCTACTATGAGCGAACAAAAATCTAATAATCTAAAAATCTAATAATTATGAATCTAAAAATAATTTTTTTTTATATTCCAAAACTCTTTTATTTTACTATTAGGTTAAAATAAAATCTTAAGATAAAGACTAATTTATTTTTTATTTGCCTTCTTATAGATTTTTAAGTAATTCTTCAAAGTCTAATAATGTCTGAGAATTTATAATATCAATATCTGTTATCATATCTATATCTGTTCTAAAAGGTATATCATATTTTGAAATATTTTTCTTCCTTTTTTCCAATTTATCTATGATATCTTGTATATCTTTTATAATTATTGTTCTACCAATTCCTTTAGCAAAATTTTCTAAAAAGTTTTCTTTGAAACATTTTAATATTTCTTGTGATGCATATAATTGTTCTTGATATCCTATCTTATCAATTTCTTTTTCAAACTTAATTTCTTTTTTATTTTTAACAACCTTTTTTATATTATATGGTCCTCTCTTATATTTGGGTTTTTCTATTTTATAATTAGTCATTAATAATTCTCACAAATTTTTAGAAAAATTATATGTTAATTTTTTAAGGACTAAAATAGAAGATTTATATTAGATAAAGGGTTGTTTTTTAATATTTGTTTAAGGGTATTTTAGGTAGTTCAAAATGTTTAGAAAAGTCAAAGGCTATTTTGGAAAATCCTTCCTTTATTTAGGTCAATTTGAGGTATTTCCCACATTGATACTCGTAAAGAGTCCAATTAATATTTGTGCATGGTATGGGATTTAAAAAGACTAATATGCCATATCTATATAATAATATAGCATACTTTTAACATTTGCAGACCTGACCCAATTTATTGTTTCATTATTTGTACTGACTGAGCAATACAATTTTGACACTTGACTCGTGTCTTTCTATGCATTTATTTTACAAGAGGTTCCAGTTCCTAATCTTTGATATTTGGATCCCCAAACTTCGAAATAGAGCATTTAAGTACCATATCTTTCATTTTAATAGCACTTGGAATATTTCTCTAGAAGACGATTTCACCACTACCTTTAATTAAGAAGTCAAAGTTATTATAAAAAGACAGTTTTACCCTTGTTTTTAATAAACAAACAATAAGGATAAAGGAAGAGAAATTCATCTTGTTCACTAACATATTCCCTACATCTTCACTTAACCACTTCTGCTCCAGGGTTATTTAACAGAGTTTTTGCTAAATTTTGATACAAAATTTCATAAAAATTGTGAATCATATGAAATGTGTAGTTAAAATTAATTTTTAACTTAAAACTTTTTCAAACAAGCACTAAATAACTGTCACGTCACATATTAATTGATGTAGCGCGAGTGTTAAAAACAACAGTGAGACTTTGATAAAATTATTAGAAAATAAGAATTCCAATGTTTTATAAAATTAGCATAACAAAGAGCTATAATTTAAGGAGTTGTGCTACATGTTGCGTGTTGTCACACCTGGCCAACCTCCCTGGGACAATGGCCCACTCATGGAGATCCACGTGGCATTCCCGCCGAGGTGGCATATAATGCCGAGGTGGGATACATCCGAACTACTTTGAGTCGAAGTCCATCTGCCGAGTCTCCTTTGTCCGAGGTCCATTGACCGAGGCCTACGAACCGAAGCCCGGCTATTGGACCTGTTGAGAGCAGTTGAGGCCCTCAAGTGGAAGTATCATGACAAAGGGCCGAAGCCCCGAAGCTGACGCGCGAGCCTCTGAACCACCAGGAAACCTCCTCCATGATCACTTCTCCCAAGAGATCGCCTGCACAGATCTTGTTCGAATGATTGATAGAACGTTTGTCATAGGCATAAAGGTCAAGTCTTGTCACTAGCATGGAGGCCTTGCACAAGCAATAAATGCGTCGTAAGCTAGCAAGTCAAGTCCCATGCCTAAGAACAGACATTTGAACTAAGGAGATGAGGCCACGTGTCACTTCATCCAAGGGCTCCCATTCCATATATATCACTATAAATACCCCCATTGTATAATGTAAAAGGCTAATACAAGAATCAATACTAAAAACTACATTTTACTCAACTCTTTCTCACTTGCTTGCAATACACAAATCGAATTTATACACTTTTACATATACATCTACGAGCACCGGTTGGTAATTATTGTACAATCGGATTACGAACAACCCGTCGGATTCCGAACTTCACCGTCCCGCGTCGTTGGGCTACTCCCACGCCCCTTTGAACCGCTCGTTTTAGACCGTCCACGTGTCTTAGCGTGTTGGACATTCGCTCACGCAAGCGCGGGTGGGACCGGCATCTGTTGGCGCACTTTTTGGGGTCAACACTACACTTACAAACATGGTTTACAAAGTAGGTTGACAAAATAACATCCACACCAATCATATCAAAAATAGGTTTTTAAATCATTTGAAATCAATGACCTGGATTTTGCCAACACATCTTTTGTCAACCAACTTTATAAGGAAACTTTATACAAGTAGAATTATTGTAATTTAAGTTTGCATTCTATTCTCAAACGGGGGTAGATTTCGGGTGGGGGAGTGGAGGTGATTTGACGAAGGGTGGGTTAAATGTTTATAAAGAAGATGAATCTTTTTTTTTTTGGGAGATGTAAATGCTCTATTTTGAAGTTTGGGGATCAAAATGCATTAGCCACTAAAGAATGGGGACCTCTTCAGCTATTTTCCCAACAGTTATGATATCCATGCAGATCTGAGTCGGCTATTACTGCCGCAGTTGACTTTGTTGTAAATTAGAGAAGGAAAATAAGGACAATTACATTTATTATTTTAAATATGGACTGAGATTTTTTGGTCCAATATTTTAGTCAAGCAAAACGTTCTGATTGAGGATGACAATCGTCGGGTTGGAGACGGAGCGATCATTCCCATCTCCATTTCATTGGAAATTTTCGAGAAGAGGGTTGAAATTGAATTAGACTGGACTGGACTAGACATGTGGGCGAAGATAAAATAAATTCCGTTTACTGTCCTATTTAATTATTTAATTAATTTTAAATTGAAAAAGATACAAATAAAACACATAGAACAACTCAATGTGAGTATAAGAAATTCAAGAAGGGCCATGATCCCATACCGTTTATTATTCGGGGCAAAGATTTTCCACTATATTTCAGTTGGAAAAAAGCTGGGTGGATCAAAGACGAAATTTTTTGCAATCCCTAGTCCTTAGGTTGAAAAGTTTCACTTCAAGATAGTAATGAGAAAAAAACCCGTCCCGTCAGATGGCCTCGCCATGCTGCAATCCCTACTTCGAGACCCTAGTACTTCTAAGGTTCAGTTATTATGCCCTCGTTTGAGCCATATTAAATGAGAATAAAAAATATAATCGTTATGAGCCCCACACAAGATATAAAAAGACAAATATGGTGACTTGATTTGATAGATAACGATCATATTTTTTATTTTAACGAGGAAAAATGGGGTTCAAACATGTTTCTATATATATATATATATTTTTTTTTTTTTTTTTGAGGAAATAGGTAAATGACTAAATTAATGTTAAGAGATTTTGCTGTAAAAAAGAATGACTATATATTAAGAGATTTTTGATAAAACTTTAATTTTTTAACTAATTAAATTCCAATTTTAACCATAATTCGAATAGGTTGAAGACAGGTAGATCTCTGGTGGAGTTATTTATGCAGAGTTTTCTAAATTGAGCGCGTAAAAGTAGGCAGCCGTCACACGCAAACGCTGTCTCAACTCTGTAACACTGTGAACACTCATTGTGTTCACAAAAGGGTAGCTCACATCATAATCGTATGCACAACCAGATCTAAACCGAGCATCTTCCAATCTCTTTCAACAAGAATAAAAGCAAAAGTTGGAAGAAAAAAGGGAAAGATAAAGAGAGTATAAAAGAGTTTGTGCTTCCTTTTCTTTTCATATTTGAACGAACCCAGTTTCTGTTCTTCCAGTGAAACAGGAAAACAAACCCCATATAATTTGGGAGGAGAAAATGACAAGTGTTGTTATACTGGCTGTGACAGCGTTAGTGCTTCTGGGCTTCACTAATGGGGAAGACCCATATAGATTCTTTACGTGGAATGTTAGTTATGGTGATATTTACCCTCTTGGCGTTAAGCAACAGGTGATTTATCTGCTATCTTCTTCTCCGTTTTTCACATTATTTTGAGAAATTAACACTGAAATGTGTACATATGGCAGGGAATATTGATTAATGGTCAGTTTCCAGGGCCACAGATTGAGACTGTCACGAATGAAAATTTAATTGTCAGTGTCTTCAATAGCTTGGATGAACCTTTCCTACTCTCTTGGTGAGTCACTCCTGTTGACGTTTACGTTAAATTTTTGTGGTTTAAAAGTGAAATGTCATGAATTTGTGTATTATTGGCTACCTGGCTTGATTTCACTCTGTTTGAATGTGCTTTTTGTGGCTGAGGTAGGAATTCATTGCGCAAATATGGTGTTCACTGCATAAAGTGTTTGGGTGCAATCATATTGTTATAGAAAAACTAGTCCATTTGAAAGAAGTTTGGAATGATGTCTTCAAGATCTACTGTTCTTACTCATTTCTGTTAGATATTAAGCCGTAAATCCAATTACGAGATCAATAATAAGCAAATTGTACGCACACATATTTACAGTAGTTCAGCCTCAATAGATCATTTTTTCCGGTCGAGTGGGTAAGTGAACAATACGATTATGCTCCACATAGTATAAGAAATTGGTACCAGATCTACTTAGTATGGTACCAGAGCTACTATATGATATAAATCCTGCATTCAAGACCTTTGGATCTTTCACCTTCGTGATGAAGTGTCTGGTTTCTTTGTTCTTGAATCCACTAGCTGTCCAAATTAGTCTTATGTAATCTGGTAAAATGGTCACTGCTAAAGAAGATATTATAGTGCCTCTTCCTCGTTCAACTTCAGGTCGAGCAATTTCCAATTACGGCAGCCCTTGAGGAGTATATTTATTTCACATCGTCTGTCTGCCTTGGCAGCATACGAGTAATGCCTTGCTGTGAACTGAATATGTACAAAAATCTCGTGACTTGATTTCTTATCATTAATTTAGTATCTATCTGTTGCCATTCTCATGCTAATCTCCTCATACAAAGATTTATATCATTGGTAAAATAATAATCTTTTGTTATTTGAACCAAATGTGAATGGTAATATATTGAAGTATTTGTTTGGTATGATGTGAAATTCACTAAGAAACATTGGGGACTTCTAACACTTAAGGCACATTATCAAAGATATTTAACATTAACGAGTTTTTTTTTCTCTTGGTAAGGAACGGCATACAACAAAGAAGGAACTCTTGGCAGGATGGAGTCTATGGCACGAACTGTCCTATCCCACCCGGACAGAATTTTACTTACATTCTCCAAGTCAAAGATCAAATCGGTAGCTTTTTCTATTTCCCGTCCCTTGCCTTTCACAAGGCTGCTGGAGGATTTGGTGGCATAAAAATCTTCAGCCGTTCTGTGATCCCCGTTCCTTTCCCTCCACCTGCTGGAGATTACACCATTCTAGCCGGTGATTGGTTCAGGCAAAACCACACGGTAATTATATCCGAACAACCACTCATGTTAATGATTAAACTTAGTTACAAAAAGGGCATATTACCATATATGCTAAATCGCACATTATGCAGGATTTGAAAGCAATTCTAGATAATGGACTTAATCTTCCCTTCCCCGATGGACTTCTCATAAATGGTCGTGGATCGAACGGCAATACATTTACGGTGGATCAAGGTAATATATAACAAAAACAATTACAGTTAACTTCCACATTTATGCAAGTACTGCTTCATAATCTCTCGCGATCTAAAATTGTTGGCCAGGCAAGACTTACAGATTTCGCATATCAAATGTCGGGCTCTCGACATCTATCAATTTCCGAATTCAGGGTCACAAGATGTTGTTGGTCGAGGTTGAAGGGACACATACATTGCAGAACACCTATGAGTCTCTTGACATTCACTTGGGCCAGTCCTACTCTGTTCTGGTCACCTGTGACCAACCTGCACAGGATTATTACATAGTCGTCTCAACACGTTTTACATCACAAGTGCTTACAACAACATCCATTCTGCACTACAGCAACTCAGCATTAAGTGCATCTGGTCCGGCTCCAGGTGGGCCCACAACTGAGATTGATTGGTCCCTCAATCAGGCAAGATCCATCAGGTATGTATTTGGTTCTGCCTAATATTATCTAAAATGGTGATGAAAATCAATATATTTTGATCCGTTATTATCATGTATCTAACTTGACATACTGTCCATATATTCTTTTAAAAATGTTTGTGCTAGATTTGGTTCACATTCGACATATTTTGATTCAATTTTTTAATCAGGCAAAATTTAACTGCAAGTGGGCCTAGACCTAATCCCCAAGGCTCTTATCACTATGGACTGGTAAACACTACCCGCACAATCCGACTGGCAAATTCTGCTCCAAGTATCAATGGTAAACAGAGGTACGCTGTCAATAGTGTATCGTTTATCCCAGCAGATACACCACTTAAACTTGCGGACCATTACAATATTCAAGGGGTGTTCAGCCTTGGAAGTATCCCAGACAGTCCCACGGGTTCCGGGGGTTACCTTCAGACTTCAGTCATGGCTGCTGATTTCAGAAGTTTTGTTGAGATTGTGTTTGAGAACTCAGAAGACACTGTGCAGTCATGGCACATCAATGGCCACATATTCTTTGTAGTGGGGTACGTTTTTACGTATTAATTTTTATGAGTACCTATATGCTGTATTTCTGCAACATATCAACCATCAAAAGTCGTCTTCCTGCAAGCATTGATGGAAAGTCGTAAAGGTTAAGTCCTCGCCTTCATTTTACGGATGATTTGACAATGCTGCATTTACAGGATGGATGGTGGGCAGTGGTCACCTGCAAGCAGATCAAGTTACAACTTGAGGGATGCAATTTCTCGTTGCACCATTCAGGTACTCCAGACGAAATTTTGGATGTTTGAGAGTGCTTACAGCTTTCAATTGTTAAGCTGTGTTAAAAAAGTAAAAAAGAGTAATGCTATTCATAGTGAAAATTATTGGTAGTCGTCCTATGTGGTTATTGCATTAAGCCCCTATTTGGGAGCCATTTTCTCAAGAAGGCCATCAATTTTTTGACCATTGCCAATGAAAAGGATACCCACTTCTGCTCTTTTTTTCGACTTCACCGTAAATAAATTATAACCTAAAATTTAAGTCCAATGGTAAAATACTATATCACTCCTATTTTTACTTTGAATTACTTGTACGCATTTCCATCAATCACTCTGTTTGACTATGTCAAAGAGGGTATATTTGGAAATGGATTTTTGGGTGGTAATTTATTGATTAGAAAGTCAAAAAACGGCAGCACTGGGACCCACTTGTACTTTGCCAACCTCGAAGAAATTGCTTAAAATCCAATCAAAATTCCTCCCAGATGGGGGCTAAATTACAAATTGTCGTGTGTAGGACAATCATCGGTAGTCTTCACTATGAATAGCATTATTCATTATAAAACTTGACACTGCCCTTATTCGTTGTACATTAGCTGCCACCATTGATATTGATCGATCAAACCTCTCGACTTTCACTTGTGTATAGGTGTATCCTGGCTCGTGGACTGCCCTATATATGCCTCTTGACAACGTGGGCATGTGGAATGTAAGATCTGAGAACTGGGCTCGGCAATACTTAGGTCAGCAGTTCTACCTTCGTGTATATTCGCCAGCAAATTCGTGGAGAGATGAGTACCCCATCCCAAAGAATGCACTCCTATGTGGTCGGGCATCAGGTCGTAAAACCAGGCCTTTATAAGACATGACAAACACGAAACAGTCACGAAGGTGTGACTGCTTTTTACTGGTTGAGGAAGATGAAACTCCATTTCTGTTGAGCCTATTAATCCATTCAGAACATTTTTCTGTTGGCACTTACGAAGTATTTCCTACTTTTCCATGCAATCCAAATAGAATTCATCAAATATACAATTTCTCTTACTCCTACTGGAAGCAGCAGGAGATGAAAGGAACTTTTTTCCTACTTATGAGTAGATATCTCAATTACTCATTTGTGCTTTAATTAACCTTCAAGTTTCTTGAATATCTCAATAATCATATTACACTAAATAACAAAAATAAATTAAGAACTTTTTTCGATCAAAATATTAATAAAATTTTTAGTCCACTTATGTAATATTGAATCGAACTTGTGGATCACAAAAAATTCACCATCAAAACTTGGCCACGTTCCTTTCATTTAGTCATCACCTGCACACTTGAACACCTCATTAGGAAATAGAAGGCTGTCAGTCAAGAAAAACGTCTGAAGATCGTTTGAACTTTGACGATCAAGTCAATGGTCGAACGAGAGATAAAAGAGAGTGCAAGTGAAGGGAGAAGAGATTCGTCTAAAATCAGAATTACATATCTTATTGTGAATGAAACTCACACACATATATCGAAAAATATAAATTCATTCACAGTAAGATATAGGAAAATATAAATGGGCCAAGTGGGTTTAATGAAATGGGGCCAAGCCCGGGCCCAATGTAAGGTTGCACGAGTTTGTTTAATTTAATAGATCTAATCCAATTGAATAATTAACGCCCAGTTGGTCAATGTAGAAGTGTTTTCGTCATGCGCATATCACATAATTTATGGATGTAATAATATTCTTGTAAGTTCGATTGACACATTCTCGATCGACGACTTCTACTTCTTAACGGGATCCACATGGAGATTGGACCAGTGATTTCTTTTTGCACATCGCCCATCGATTTGCTAAAATGAGTATGTCATTTTAGTAAAAAAAAATGACTACACGAGCCTTGAGCAGCTCTCAAGGTTTCTCGGCCCACCATGGGTGGATTCGAGTCACACTTTTGTCGAGTGTGCCGATAAATGCTTGATTTGTCTCATTTAACACTGCTAAAATATTTTAATCTCCACCTAATCTTGTCTCACTCCACCTATCAAAAGTCTCCAATGGGCGGGAGACGAGCAGTGTCACCCCGTCCGGACCCGCCCATCACTAAAAGGAGTTCATTATCACAATCCAAGTGCCAACTTGCACGAGGAATTAAATAGCCTAGTCATAACATATCTTACCTTGGCTGTTTGGTAAAAAATCTATTAATTAGAAAAAAGGTAATGCGATTTCCATCCAGCATTATAAGTGATGACTCCATCCATTAAAACCCTAATCGTGCAATGTCGTTATCATCATCTTCATTAATACCTTAATCAATTAGATTTTGCATTGGTCGCGATTTCTTTGTCACATCTTCTTACGTTAGATTGGCATACCAATCACATTACCACAAATATAACATTGTATCTCAAGATAAAATATCTATTTATTAGTAAGGGTTTTGCTTGATCAAGTTGTCCCACACTCACATAGAGTGGAGCCCACTAGAATATTGTGAGTGTGTGAATATCTTAATGTACAAAAACTTATGTACAAGTAGTGTTATCCTATTAATAAACGAAAATATCTTAATTCAAAAATCTTACTTTCCCATGCACATAACAATTTGTCAGTGACATCTCTTATTTTTATTCTCGTTGATGAACACGAGCACTACACAATATATATTAGACATGCCAAAAAGATTGAAATTGTCTGTGTAAGAACCAATACATCGACTACGCGGATCAAAGGCGAACTAAAGTTAAGGTATAAGATTGCACGTCAAATATGCTATCTTTAACACATGAAAGTGTCTAAATAAAACCAAATTCAAGATTGAATAACAGTTTCTTTCCCTCTTTCTTTTAAAAAAAATAAAAAGTACCCTTCAACCTCTCATCTTCTGTCAATGTATCTATGATAATCGCTCCCCAAGGTATAGTCTAGGGGTGCAAAGGACATGATTGAGGTTATCTCACGCCGTGCTGACAGCCGCAGTGTGGGGGTTTGATTCCTAAGACATGAAATTGGACTCCTTGTAGGCGCAGTGTACAGGTAGCTTTTGTTCCCTGACCTGCTGGGGCATATCTCTCGATTTACCTCCCTTACAAAACTTTAGGGATGGAATGATGAGTGTCCTCAAAATTGGGGTTCATCCTTTATCTATGATAATGGTAGAAAGAATAAAGAGAGTGGGCCATGTCCAAATTCTGTTATATTAAATAAACTCATCTAAAATCGATCCAAGATCCATCACTTGTCAAAATACATATATTAGCAATTTTGAGGAAAGCGGGCCATACAGCATTAAAGTTTGATAGAAGAAAACAGGTGTAAAGGCACCATTTCACCATTTCTCTTTTGACATTTTTGATAGGCATCCCTAATTCACTAACCAGCATTTCCACTTTATTGTTCGAAATCACTAATTTAAGGAAATTTTCATTTATATTCTATTTCAATAATAGTACGAAAAGAAGACTCGACTCAAAGTTATTCGACGTTTTGAGTTTCTTGAATGCTGTAATTATAACATCACATTCCATTTATTCTGTCGGCATGTTTCAAAATCTACTTCATTTTGCTACATAAAGAATTCTGAACTGCCATTAAACTCATTTTGAATCATTTTCTCATAAAAATTTGTGTCGTAAAAAGCCATTACTCGATAATTTTATCGAAGTTTTCGTCCTTTTCTTTTCAAACCATTCTTGATAACAAAATAAATAACATATAACTTAAAATGGGAGCTCGATCTTTTCTTCAACATTATAATCCTCGTGATAATAGGACTGTTTTCGTGTTCGTAAAAATGAAATTTGCAGTTATAAACACGATTTATTATTATGTGTCGGTAGGCTAGGGTTTATGAACCTTAAGTACAGAGGGTGTCACCACTGACCAGCCAATCCATGCATGTACTTGTTGACTTTGAATGTCTCTTAGTAGTTAATGCTCCCACCAATTCCCCAACGGCTCCAACGCGTGCATGCATATTGCAAACATTAATGGCTTCAGGGAAATTCGCCTATATAATCGCTGGTTTACGAGCGAGACGAGGAGATAGAGTGAACTGATAATTTTCAGCAATGGGATTCTTTCAGAAGCAATGGGTTTGCGTATTGCTTCTTCTTTTGGGCATTGTCTTGCAGTTGAGTGCAATTTCTATGGGAGATGACAAGCTCGATAAAGCGAGGTGGGGAGATGACGATGACTGTCGCTATAGTAGGAGAGGCTGTGGCGGTGGCGGCTTTGGTCGTGGTCCACGTGGACGTTGGGGAGGACCGGGTCGTGGTGGTTTTGGTGGAGGTAGAGGTGGGGGTGGAGGGTTTGGTGGAGGAGCTGGAGGAGGTCTTGGTGGAGGTGCTGGAGGAGGTCTTGGTGGAGGCGCTGGAGG